AAACTTGTGATAAAGGATGAGAGAGAGTTGTTGCATTTTTAAACTTGTGATACAGGATGAGAAAGAGTTGTGACATTCCCTAAATAATTTTGTTTTCATTTCTGTGCTTCCAAATTTATTCTCCCATAAGAGTTTTGAAATCAAGTTCTTATTGTAAACACACATTCACACTCTTGATATCATCATTTTGCTTAGAGCTATCATAATTCTCCCCCTTCTTTTCCCTCTCTGTCTCTCTCTCTCTCATTCTTTCTATTTTTCGTTATTCTATGTTGGTGTCTTTACTGTGTGTCTCCTGTATGGTGGCCCTGAAGGGACATCGCGAATAGACTAAATCGTGAAAAATATGCGATAAAATTCACGATATCGTCAATTTTATCGCATATTTTTCACGAAGAAATTCACGAAATTGACGATATCGTGAACTTTATCGTGAACTTTTCACGATGAAATTGACGATATCGTGAATTTTATCGTGAAAAGTTCACGATATAAAGTTCACGATATCGTCAATTTTATCGTGTACTCTATCGTGTACTCTATCGTGTACTCTCCTGACGGGCGCTACGTAAACAAAACCAGCCCTAGCTGGGGGAGACAGAGAGAAGGAAAAAAGGGAAAGGGAAAGAGAAGATAAAAGGAAAAGGAAAGAAAGAATAAGAAGAAGAAAAGAGGGAAACGGGGGGGGGGGGTGAAGGGCTCTTGCCTCCTCACCCCCCCCCCCCGCCAAAAAATAAATAAGGAGAGAGAGAAGGGAAAGGGAAAGGGAAAGAAAATATAAAAGGAAAGAAAGAAGAGGAAGAAGGAAAGAGGGAAACAGGGGAAGGGCGAAAGGCTCTTACCTCCCCCCCCCCCGCCAAAAAAATAAATAAGAGAGAGAGAGAGAGAAGGGAAAGGGAAAGAAAGAAGAGGAATAAGAGGGAAACAGGGGAAGGGCGAAGGGCTCTTGCCTCCTCCCCCCCCCCCGCCAAAAATAAATAAGAGAGAGAAGGGAAAGGGAAAGAAAATATAAAAGGTAAGAAAGAAGAGGAATAAGAAGGAAAGAGGGAAACGGGGGAAGGGCGAAGGGCTCTTGCCTCCTCCCTCCCCACCCCCGCCAAAAAAATAAATAAGAGATAGAGAGAGAAGGGAAAGGGAAAGGGAAAGAGAAGATGAAAGGAAAGAAAGAAGAGGAAGAAGAAGAAGAAAAGAGGGAAACGGGGGCGAAGGGCTCTTGCATCCCCCCGCCCAAAAAATAAATAAGAGAGAGAGAGAGAGAAGGGAAAGGGAAAGAGAATAAAAAAAGGAAAGGAAGAAGAATAAGAAGAAAAGAGGGGCTCTTGCCTCCTCCCCCCCCCTCCCGCGCCAACAAATAAATAGGAGAGAGAGAGAGAGAGATAGAGAGAAGGGAAAGGGAAAGGGAAAGAAAATATAAAAGGAAAGAAAGAAGAAGAAGACGGAAAGAGGGAAACGGGGGAAGGGCGAAAGGCTCTTACCCCCCCCTCCCGCCGTAAAGGGAAAGAGAAGGGAGAGGGAAAGAAAATATAAAAGGAAAGAAAGAAGAGGAAAAAGAATAAGAAAAGATGGAAACAGGGCGAAGGGCTCTTGCCTCCTTTCTTTTCTTTCTTTTCCTTTCTTTCCTATTCTCCCTCTTTTTCGTTTTTCTCTTTCTTTCTTCTCTTTCCCTTTCCTTCTCTCTCTCTCTCTCTCTTATTTATTTTTTGGCGGGGGGCGGGGGGACGAGGCAAAAGCCCTTTGCCCCCGTTTCCCTCTTTTCTTCTTCTTCCTCTTCTTTCTTTCCTTTTATCTTCTCTTTCCCTTTCCCTTTCCCTTCTCTCTCTCTCTGATTTATTTTTTGGCGGGGGGGGGGGGGAGGGGGGCAAGAGTCCTTCGCCCTTCCCCCGTTTTCCTCTTTTCTTCTTCTTCCTCTTCTTTCTTTCCTTTTATCTTCTCTTTCCCTTTCCCTTTCCCTTCTCTCTCTCTCTCTGATTCATTTTTTGGCGGGGAGGAGGGGGGGGGGGGAGTGAGGAGGAGGCAAGAGCCCTTCGCCCCCCCCGTTTCCCTCTTTTCTTCTTATTATTCTTTCTTTCCTTTTATCTTCTCTTTCCCTTTCCTTTTTTTCCTTCTCTCTGTCTCCCCCAGCTAGGGCTGGTTTTGTTTACGAAGCGCCCGTCAGGAGAGTACACGATAGAGTACACGATAGAGTACACGATAAAATTGACGATATCGTGAACTTTATATCGTGAACTTTTCACGATAAAATTCACGATATCGTCAATTTCATCGTGAAAAGTTCACGATAAAGTTCACGATATCGTCAATTTCGTGAATTTCTTCGTGAAAAATATGCGATAAAATTGACGATATCGTGAATTTTATCGCATATTTTTCACGATTTAGTCTATTCGCGATGTCCCTTCAGGGCCACCATATTTATCACAAGTTTGAAAATGCAACAACTCAAGCTACTTGAAGTCGTTAACGGAAAATATAAGACGAACGCAAATCTGGAACTCGGATGTGAAAGCGGATACAAACAAAATGGCGCGCCGCACTGATTGCTATAACGGACCAATCACAGCCCGCGTAGCCCGACCCGTTAGCAACGACCGACCATTTCCGGACTACGATAATTTCGCTCGGGAAAAGTGATCAAATTTTGGAAGAGACCGAAGGCTGTGCGAAAAAAACTGGTCTAAAACTCATCTTCTACTATGTTTTAGACTTCCAAATTTTGATACTAGGTACAGAAAAGACCACTCTTTCAGAAAATGCAAAAAAACAAAAATCTATTTTTTTCACCTAAATTGACATTTTAGCTGATTACGGAGAATCGCTGGTTGCGACTTTTTGTTGGTTTTGTGGTGCCGGGTCACATTTTATCTGTTTATATGCTTGTGTATTTATCTATTTTGTTTCTGATGCTGTTATTTGTTATTATTATTACCAAACAGGGCCTCATGGAAGACCACCAATTTGGTGATATGTGCCACCCTGTAAAAATGTCAGAAATAAATAAAATATAAATAAATAAATGATGGGTCAAAACAGTTTTAAATACATTCAATAAGATTGGGTGTTCTGGAATCAATACACCAGTTGACAAAGACTTTAAACAAATCAAATCTCCTATTAATTATTGATCCTGACTGAAATGTTGATCTGATGATCTAAATCCCTCGGATTGATGCGAACGGTCATTTTTTCCGGGGTCAACGATTGACCCAAACGACACGAGTTTTTTTTTTTTTGGGGGGGGGGGGGGGGGGGAGAGGGGGGGGGGGGTCAATATAAGAGCAACATACTTAGATTCAGCCCAAACATTTACCTGCGGAATGCAACATTTCAACCATTCTCCATCAAAAATTGGATTTAAATTGGATCGAAATCGTCGCTGCTCACTAAAATTTCAAGTTTGTTACAGAAATCAGGCTTATGGTCAATTTGAGTTTAAGTGGCCAAATTGGCGGGAGTGGTCAAAATGCTGTAAAATCGATGAACGGGATGGATTTTTCTGGAAGCAGCGCCTATGCGGACATTGAATTTTGGTATCAATAACCAATATATTCATTAGTTCTGAGTTATTATTTTCCCCCGATGTTGAATCCCTAAATATTATGCAAATGGCCATTCTTTAAACCAAAAATTTACCAAATTGACCAAAACTTCAAGAGTGCCGTCAAGAAGACTGTTATTTTTTAGAATCAGCACAACAAATCTTACCTTCGATTGGTTTATTAAATCTTCCCGATCATAAACTCTGCTAGAGTCAAAGTCCTTTTGAATTCTTCCCTCCTCACTTCGGATGTCAAATCCCACAAATCAAATGATTCTGACTCAAGATTTGGCCTAATTTCGGACAAAAATCAATACAATTGGACATTTTGGGCCAAAAAGTGACCAACGTGACCACCTTGTTGTTGATGATGGTCAGTTTGACCACTTTCTTTGCATCAGGGCTCACTCTTACATAGATTGGGCTCATCAAATCTTCTTTGCTGATAATGACAATTGGGAAAATTACAGCTAACCGAAAGTGACCATAAGGGTCAGTTTTGGCAAAAAAAAGTGGCTAAAATTATTATCACGAGTAGGTTCAATCATTTTTGGTTTCAGCGCAAAATTTTACCCCGGATAAGCTTTTTATACCTTCCCATCCAAATTTTTTGATTAAAGCCCCTTAACTCCTAGGGTTCGAACAATCAATAGGGAGTTTTCGCCAGCTCAACGCGGACAGAGAATCTGTGATTCGTGTGCAAAATCGAGAAACTACTATAGTAACAGCGGGATGACCGAGCGGACGGAGAATCTGCGATTCGTGCGCAAAATCGAGAAGCTAGTATAGTAACAGCGGGATGACCGCTGAGGTACTGAGATCCACAACGGGTTTTGGCCAAGAAGAAGAAGAAGAAAAAGAAGAAGAAGAAGAAGAAGGAGAAGAAGAAAAAGAAGAAGAAGAAGAAGAGGGAGGAGGAGGAGGAGGAGGAGGAGGGGAGGAGGAGGAGGAGGAGGAGACAAAAAGAAGGAAAGGTGAACTAGGAGAATAATTAAGAATGTCCATTTGTTCGGCTGGCAAATTCATCTTCCGATCTGTCCGTGTGTCTTATTTGTATATCACACGGCTCTTTCTTTCTCTCATTTCATCACCCTTTCTCTCTCTCTCTCTCGTATTATCCTTTTATCATTCTCTTTCTTCCCCTATCATCTCCCCCCCCCTCTCTCTCTCTCTCTCTCTCTCTCGCTCTCGCTCGCTCTCACTCACGGCCCCCTATACAGTATATCCACACTTACATCAATATTCCTTATGAATCTTTATTCTGATTATTTCTTTCTTATTATTATCATTATTATTATTATTGTTTCATGAAGCTATCAATTCATTGATTGATATTACCATCATTTACCATCATCAACGTTATCACTTTTTTTTTAAGATAAACGATTCGCCATTAACACGTAATTACACGGTTTACACACAGATGAATTTAAGCCAAATGAAAATTTACATAGGATAGCATGATTTTATTTCAGTCGCACATGAAAGTTATCAATTTATATATCATCATGATCATATTCATAGGTCTACCAGTATTTATTCGTAGGTCTTGTATAAAACATTAACAAGTAATAGATACAAATACAAAAGATTACGAGCTAAATAAATAGGGAATCTAAGTCAACCTTATCCACTTAATGAAAGTAATGTAGGAAGGTCCAACGTGATCTACCCCTGTTTGTAAAATAAACATTAATTAGAATTGCGTGAATGATAGACACAATAAAACAAGAAGGTATCTGCCCTCAAGTTTGTTTAATAAAAAGTAAGTGACAAATGCTTTAGAAATGTCTAAAATAAGGATATGTGCTCATATGTTCATGAATGGTTATTTACATTTCATATGAAATACAAGTTGATATGGCCAATGAAATTAAACTGTAGTTTATTCAGACGACACTATAAATGTCACTGTACTCATCAGCGGCAGATATATAGCAGATTCTGCAAGGCAAGTGTCGGCAGTGTTCCGAAAAATCTCTTTCAAGCGGAAAACGTGAACTTAATAAATACGTTAGGATATGTTAGGTTAAGAAGAGAGAACACGAAAGGATTTGACCAAGTACACCAGTGGTATTGATGGTCACTCTAGAAAAGATACACAGGAACATCTGGTACCCCATGGAAGAATATTGTAATCAAATCTAAAAATATAAATGGACTATCCACTTCTACGATTTACTACACGTTGAAAATTAGCTAAAATACAGATAACAAACGGTTATGTACGGACCAAGACGGGTATGTCATGCCTGTATTTCCTGATTGTAAAGAAAGCGGAAGCTACAACAAGTGCGAGTAGTCCTAGAACCCCAAAGGCAATACCAACACCCCGTCCCGATGACCCGGAGGTTCTTCCCTTGAGCTGGTCATATTCGCCTGCTTCCACACCTGCAGACAGGACTCGCTGTCTTCTGTTCCCCGGAAGAAGTGGACGCATATTCCCACTGATCTGATTCCCGTTCCTTCCGAAGACGACAGACAGGACACTGTCGACGTCGTTGATGTCCATATCCATCTCCACGTCGACGTCGGATACTTCTTCGGAAGAGGAGCCGGGACTCGTGTAGCCCAGGGAACTTCCCGCAATGCTTGGACCACCGAAACTTGGACCAGAAAAGCTTGGACCTGTTCCTTGGTTTACTGGAAAATCGAACATGGTCTGTTTCTGTGGAGGCCCAGCATGCTTTTGCACTGACTTCGCTTCGATGTGGGAAACTGGATTGCTACTTACTTCAGCGACGATACAGAACGCTGAGAATAAAATTGAAAACGAGAGACCGTCATTAATCTATATTTTTATCAAGTTCCTAATCGATAAACAGATGATTTGCGAATGATGTACACAAAATTGTTCTTATAAAAAAGCGCTTTACCAGTTACATCATGCCCGAACAAAGCGCTCACAGAGTTATTATGCCGGTCATTGAAATCTGATACAATTTCTGCTTTAAAAGCTTGTAATTTTAATATGTTAATTAGACTTATAAGTAAGTCACATTGCCAAACTAACCAATACCTAACCTGGGGGGGGGGGGGATAATGGCATTTCGTGTCTGGTCTGTTGTTGGTCTAATGTCGCTCTTGAGTTACCTGCTCCTTCGATGTTTGTTGCATTAATCTTTAACAATTTCTGTCTTTACTCCAAACAAAATGACAATTTTTATATACAATGAAAGTTGAAACTTGCCAGTAAATATACACAATACTTTTTAAAGATACAGTTTTAATATATTTTACCTGGTTACCTGGTTGCCACCGTCAGTTGCTGGCGATTGGCGACCACATCTGCACATCTTATTTTAATGTATTATATAAACTGTTTAATATGCCTTGTGTAATTTTTACTCTGTAAATTGAACAACTTCAACTTTTAGCTGCATGTTCGGTGATTTAAAAAAAAATCTTATTGAACCAATACAATGCAATACAATTGGGTGGGGGGGGGGGGGGGGGGGCTGAGGTATAAGATTGATGGGCGGGGGGGGGGGGGATGGGAGCCCCCATCGATCCTCTCTGTCGACCACCGCACAACTTGGCAAGCTCCTTTACGAGCACTTTTCTAAATATGACTGCAGTATGAATTTTGTTTAAAATGGTTATGTTATCCAACCCACACCGATTTTTATTTGAACTTTGAATCAGATCGCCCCCCAGCACAAAGGTGTAAGTGGCTAGCTCAAAGTGTAACCTCGGACAATGATGTACTACAGAGTGAATTCCTACATATTGACAAGGCAAGTGGATACTCAGCATGGATGAAAAGAGCGAAGGACAGAATAAGAACTAAGCCCCCCCCCCCAAGGAAAGGAAAAAGAAAGTTGAGAACAGAGTAGTCCTTCCTTTTTTAACTCTATATCCTCTCGCTTGAAACGAGTATTCCAAGACAAGGAAATTGGTGTTGCCTTCAGAAGCCCTAACACAACAGAAGTAGGTTGGTCCATCCAAAAGACCAAATTCCAAGAGAGGAAAAGACAGGCATTGTGCACAAGACCACTAGCACAGACGGTAACAATTCCTATGTTGGGGGAAACTGGCAGAACTCTTAATGAGCGATTAAAAGAACATAAAAGAACCCTCAGATCCTGTTATCCTGTTAAAAGCTGACTTAATTTTGATCTGTTATTCTTTTATATTGATGTTTGTTGGAAGCTTAGAGAATAAAAATCAATCAATCAATCATATTGAATAACCATTCCATTCACAGCTTTAGCTGAACACGCCCTCAACACAGGACATACTATTGGATGGGATGATGCCCTCATTGTTGACTTTGAAAGCAACGTCTGGCTATAAAAAAGGTGAAAGAGTCAATATGGTTTATATAGGATTAATCCTACACTAAACGGGGATCCCTATAATAATAATAATAATAATAATACACAATATTTATATAGCGCAATCAAACACTCAAGGCGCTTGGAAATATTAGTCACCTATCTTTGGTCTATTGATAGCAAGACACCTGGCAGCACTGAGAAAACGTGTGACTGATCACTTGGCTTGAGAAAGTCCACAGGAGTGGACGGAACTTCATGGTTCATAGAAGCTCTAAACATTACATTATCATTTATGAAAATTGTATGTCAGTACTGAGTATTAATTATACAACAGATATTTTTTAGAAAGTAGCTTTATGAGGTAAGTAGCCATTTTTAATTCAAGTTTGTTTGAAATCCAATGAAAATATTCAATAAAATCCGAAACAATATGTCGCAAGCGCTAAGAAATCTCAAATCATGTCTGTTAAAATACCTTCATGCTACTTAATTCAAATTCAAATCATGTCACATGTAGGTAAAAAGGGTGCGCTAAAAACTCATAATGCATTAAACCCTAAAAATTAACTGGGGAAAGGGTCGATTTATGTATAATAATATGACTTGTATAGTGCATACCATACTATGCTATAATTATAACGTATCTATTCTTTGATACAAAAGATCTTAGGAAATTATCACCTTGATTTCAACCCCTGCAGGCTTCATCAGGGCATAGAGTATTTCAAGGCTCATTTCCAATACGTACACATTTTCCTTATCTGGTTGGAGTTTGGCAAATATAGATTAACGTCTTGCCAAAGGAGGTTATAGTGCTGTGGCAGGGATTCGAACCCTGTTAACCTTGTGGTTCACTGTGCAGAGACTTGTCCAGTAGATCTTCAACACCTATATCCTAGATTGTATTGGAAAATATCACTTCTTAAATCTCTCCATTAAAATTACAATTAAAGACAAATAGTTCTTACCTGCAAGAATGCAACACATTTGCCATGTCGAAGAAGCCATTGTGAATTTCTCTCTTTTTAGAGCACGGTATTGCTTTACGAAGTAAGTATAGAGTGAGAAACGAATCACTGCTGACTGCTTGGTTTTCCTAATACTCTTAATTCACCTTTGAAATCAGGAACGAATTATGAAGAACATTCTGAGATTCTCTGCTTTTATACTTTTCGTCTGAAGGTACATTTACCACATATCCCATTCTTAAAGTGTTTCCCCATCAACATGAATAACAGTTGATGGATTTGAGAGTGTCTTTGATATGTTCATACGAGTCTAACACGTCCTCCAAGTTCTTGGCATCTCTTTCTTCATCCAGTCAACCTCCTAACCTTCACTCTACCCGTCTTGAAAAACTATGATCTTCAAGAGAAGACAACCTTCATGACGCTTTAATTATCTCTGAAAGAAAAGGGCCAATATTTGATGATAACTGTGTTTGATTCTTTTTTTGCATGTTGACATCCACAATGGACATAAGCCATACAGACATTGTAAATTGGGAATGACAGTTAAATACCACCTCACATATTGTTCGCCAAGACAATATCGGCGATAATGTCTAAACTATAGTTGCTAACTTGCCCTGGCATCAATTCTTGTTCGAGTGCCAGGGCTGCAGAAACACAAACGCGAACACAGTTCAAGAGTTCATTAACTCGTCGGGCTCGTAGAGGGCAGCGTTCTGTTCATTTAATTCAATTCAGAATGGTATTGAATATAATTATGTCTCGCATCTTAAGTTAAATTGTGCACAACTAATACACGCCCACGTGATGTCAATTGACCAATCGGATTGCTTACATTTTAAAACCCGTCTTATAACATTTAATAGTAAGAGCCATATTTATACAAACAATATAGACCCTACTCACGACATTTTGGTCACTTTCGGTCCGGTGTAACTTTTCCAATTGTGCTGTTATCAGCAAAGAAGATTTTTATAAGCCCATTCTATGTAAACAAAAAAATGAGCCCTGGTGCAAACGAGTGGTCAAACTGATCCTTATCAACAACAATCAGTGATTTCAAGTTGGTTGTTAGTGTTAGTGTTTAGAGCAGTCAAGAGCTCTTAAATCGAGCAAAAAAATTGCAGATTTTTTTTGTTTTCATACGTTTTTATTCATTTCTCTCATAAAGAAAATTTTACATAATTTATAACATTGTATTCAAACTAACAAAATAATTTTCACATAGGTCTAAATAAATTTGCAAGTGAACTTTTACATTTACATACAAGGTTACAACTAAGGTTACACATTTAAAGATGAAAAATATTCACATAAACAAAATTATTAAAAAAAAAAAAAAAAATCGCAAATAAAGTTTGTACTATTCTCTCGACCGGTTTGCTTATAAATCTCAAACTCTTTCTTTTCTTTTCCACAATATTTTCTTTTCCTCTTAAATTTCCTTTAGAGAAAAAAAATATATAAACAAAAACAAAGAGCTAGACAACACCTACTACCCCCGCCCCACACAACATTTAAACACATACCAAGTACAACAGTATACAAAACACACACCAACATAGAACGAACAAACAAACAAAAGAAAAAGAGAAGAAGAGCAAAAAGAAGAAGAAAAAAGAAGAAAAATAAATAAAAATAAAGCAAAGGTAGAGAAGAGAGGAGGGTCTGGAAGTTGTATATTGAGAAAATTAAAAACAGAAAACATTTATTCTAAACTTTCCAAGGCTTCCCATTTCCTTAAATGAATTGAAAGGGTGTCTCTTTCCAATGACAGTTTTTTCTCTTAATTTCTATTTTCCAATAATCTATATTCTGTTTCGTTTGCTTTTGTAGGGTTTCCCTTCTCTCTACTGTGGAAAATCATACATTTAATCAAAATCATAATGTGGTTCAATAATTGCTCTGTTTTTAAAGTACTGTCATCTATTCCTATATGAATTTCTTTCCACTGATAATTTCTTCAGAATTGGTAAATTAAGTCTATCAGCACATTTCTCCCAGTCTTCCTTTATTGTATTACATTCAAAGAATACATGTTGATAAGTTTCTTCAAAATATTTGCAAAATGAGCACAACCCGAACCTGAATATATGTAAATGATGATTTGTAAATAAAATATTATGCAACAGTTTGAACTGAAATTCTCGCAGTTTACTACCTAAGGTACACATCCTTGGTTGAACAAATATCTTTTCTAATTTTTTCTTGAAATATTATAAAGTGACATTAAATTGCCGCCTGCCGAGTTTGTTTCTACATTCTTTTTAATTTGACTCTTATGTACCATTTTTGCAGTTAAATATTCAAGGAAAAACAAAATATTGAGGAATTTTCTATATAGAAAACTTCCCCAATTGGTGCCTGTTGGTCCCCCATGATCATCTATTTCTTATGTTATTTGAGAGCTGAGTTGATGAGATAGCCACCTGTCAGTGACCTCGCTGTGTGGTCCAATCCCTCCAAGCCACACTAGTGTTGATAAGCTGTAAAGGATCGACGGCTTTATGTCCTCTTCGAGAGACCTGGTAATGAGGATTAATGCCTTACCAAAGGGCACTAGTGCATCACCTTGGTTTCGAACCCAAGGGTGGTGGAAGAGATATGATGGAGGTATGATGTAGGTACGGTGGTGGTGGTAGAGGTTAGGTGGTGGTAGAGGTAGGGTGGTGGTAGAGGTTAGGTGGTGGTAGAGGTAGGGTGGTGGTAGAGGTAGGGTGGTGGTAGAGGTAGGGTGGTGGTAGAGTTTGGGTGGTGGTAGAGGTAGGGTGGTGGTAGAGGTAGGGTGATGGTAGAGGTATGGTGGTGGTAGAGGTAGGATGTAGGATGGTGGAAGAGGTAGGGCGGTGGTAGAGGTAGGGTGGCGGTAGAGGTAGGGTGGTGGTAGAGGTATGGTGGCGGTAGAGGTAGGATGTAGGATGTAGGATGGTGGAAGAGGTAGGGCGGTGGTAGAGGTAGGGTGGTGGTAGAGGTATGGTGGCGGTAGAGGTAGGATGTAGGATGTAGGATGGTGGAAGAGGTAGGGCGGTGGTAGAGGAAGGGTGGTGGTAGAGGTAGGGTGGCGGTAGAGGTAGGGTGGTGGTAGAGGTAGGGTGGTTGTAGAGGTAGGTTGGTTGTAGAGGTAGGGTGGTGGTAGATGTTGTGTGGTTGGGTGGTTGTAGAGGTGGGGTGGTTGTAGAGGTAGGGTGGTTGTAGAGGTAGGGTGGTGGTAGATGTTGTGTGGTTGGGTGGTTGTAGAGGTAGGGTGGTGGTAGAGGAAGGGTGGTGGTAGAGGTTGGGTAGTTGTAGAGGTAGGGTGGTGATATAGGAAGGGTGGCGGCATAGGTAGGGGATGGTAGAGGTAGGGTGGTTGTAGAGGAAGGGTGGTTGTAAAGGTAGGGTGGTGGTAGAGGTAAAGTGGTGGAAGAGGCAGGGTGGTCTTTTTCTTTTTTTTTCTTCTTCTTCTTGTTATTTTTCTTCGTAATTCTTCTCGCGGGTCCTCTTCTTATTGAAGGCCATCTTCTTCTTAATTCTTTCTTTTTTTCAGTTTAATTGCATGTCTATTCATGACTGAAAAAAATGTAAATAAAATTGTCGTGTCATTATTATTTTAGATGATAAAGTGACGTCGTTAACTATGTAGGCCATTTTCTTTATTCTTTTTCCGTCTTGTATTGTTGTTGCATTTTAGCATTGCATTTGGGCCTCGAATGGCGGAATTGTTTTTGAATAATTGATACACATCGCTATGCCTACATGATTATTTGCTTGCATTTTCCCAACACTGCATTCAATTCAATTCTATTCAATTTTTCTTTTCTTTTCAACAAAGCATTACAAATCAATTATAAAAATTTACAACAAATGTAGAAATACATATTAGAAACAGAGGGGCCCACTAAAAAGTAATGCTTGAAGTGTAAACACCTCAAATGATACTTAAGAATAATGAGTAACTATTTTAACAAGCCCGTAACTACAAAAGGAACTACGAGATAGGGGGAAAAAAGGGGGGGGGGGGAGGGGTGCTAAATTATTTTAATCATAGTAGAAATAAATTCGGTTCTCAACAATTATACTAAATTAATAGAGGTGTTCACGCCATGGCTCATTCACACGGAGAAAAAGAGGTTTGAATTTACTCCATATAAAGGGAGTAAATGCTTGTCGCATAAGTGACACCCATCAGGGATTAAATTCAATCCCCAATGTAGCGAGTAAGTTTACACCCCACAAGAAGGTGTAAATTTGCACCCCAATATTATGATTTTACTCCCTTTAAGGAGTGATTTTTTTTACCCAATGGTGCTTAATTAACACCTTTTGGTTCCATTTTCATGAAAAATGGGTTCAAATTTACACCCTATATGATCGATTCCACACCCTGTGTGGAGTAAATGCCCTTCTTATACACAGCATCAACCAATTGATCATCCCTCAAGCAATCAATTTATCCATGCTTCGCAGTCACCTAACAGTCACTGATTCTTACCCTTCTGACTACGTTTCACTGCTCTAAATATATCAGACAAGAATCTCGAGTTATATGTCGAAAAGCTTTAATGCTTACCTAAACAACAGTTAGTGTGAACTCAACACAAGTGCAGACTGTAAGAACCAACTTAAAGTTAGCATCGGTGAGGCTTGCCTGGATGGACGTATCAGATCAAGTGTAGTGGAAATACCTTAATACACAATGCTGCCTCCCTTAACATCTTTCCTTTACTTACACGTATAAGAAGTAGTAATTATGTACTAGTTAGTAAAACAACACTTCTGCTAATTTCATTAAATTATCAAATATAACCTTTTGGTACAACCATTGCTGTAGTGCATGCGCATATGCACTCACAACAGAAAATGCTTAACCTCTCTTGACCAATCAGAGCTCGTCTGACTAAAATAGGGTGTAAAATTACACCCCTCAAAAGTATTTCCTTGCTATTTCCGTGTTTTACTCCCTAAAAGGTGTAATAGGAGGCGCCCTATTTTTCCAATTTCGTTTTACTCCCCAAGAACACCTTTTATTTCTCTGTGTGTTGAATGAATAATATTGATGATATGTGTATGTCATGCATGATGCATTGCACTTTTGGTCTCCATTGCGATCATTCTCCTCATCTTATTTCTATTCGTTACCAACTCCGAGAT